AATTCCCATTTAACCTGTTAAGGGGCTTTTTCCCCCCGTTTTTTTTCTCACGAAACTGTGTCTCAGGGCTTCTTAAAATGTAATAAACTATTCATGTGTCCTACTCAGAGGAAACGCATCTAACTGATGATATGAACCATGTTTACCGAAACAAAACACAAGTCTCACAAGAAGCGTCTAAATGAGCCCTGAGCGAAAAAATGCTAACGCACTCTAGGTATAAATCAATCGATATACTTATCGGATATGCACAAACAAGCTTACAAACTGAGATTCCACATATTCTAGAAATATATATATCATCATATCATCACTGAGCGATCAGAACTCGCGACAGGGGAAGCAAATACAGACATCACACAACGTAGCTTTAGGTAGCAAAACATGGAGATATGCTCACCTTTTGCAGAATAACAATTCTGATCAAAAACGAGAAAAACGCAGCTGAAGGTTAATCCATAGGTTAATCCAATGTGTCTGTCACTTTGAAAAATGATTGATGATCCATAATTCCATTTTTATGTCAAAAACGGAGTTTTCATTAGCTGCTAATGGTAGCTTCCAGAGTGTATGACAGCTTCCTGTTTTGTCTCCTTGGATACGAGTCCAAACAACTCACAGACAGGGCGCTCACGTAGGAGCCCTGTGACCATCATATTTGACGACGCTGATTGGCTGAAATTATGTTTTCGCGGCATAGTTTACACGTTACAGATAGCAACAGTCAGCTGCTAGTGGCTGCTGCTGCACTGGTTGAGGGCTCCTCTCTTAGCGCCCAGACGAGAGAAGGTACACGGGCAAGGCCAGGCAGGAAACATGTGACTTATCAGTAACTTTAGACATCGTAACACAATTTTAAACGAGATTTTATTGTAGATTATACATTTTACTGATACCAATTATATAATATTTACCTTGTTCATTAAAAATAAAAATAAAAATAAATATATTTTTTAAAATATTTATTTTTATTTTTTAATATGGGAAGAGGTGGGGCGGCGCCACTGACGGCATCTATTGCACGTCTGTCCGTCCTGGGAGAGGGATCCCTCCTCTGTTGCTCTTCCTGAGGTTTCTCCCATTTTCCCCTTTAAACTGTGGGTTTTTCTCCGGAAGTTTTTCCTTGTACGATGTGAGGGTCTAAGGACAGAGGGTGTCGTTTTCTCATACTGATATTCTGCACAAACTTTGCTGTTGTATTTGCTGTAAAGTGTCTTTACTGTAGGGTATTTTTATGTACAGCACTTTGGCTCGACCAAAAATCGTTTTCAAATGTGCTATATAAATAAAACTTGATTTGATACCTTGATGGGACAGGTCCGGTTCGCTAGTCGTGAGTAAAATGTCACTGAGCAATATGTTCTTTACTTTACATATAATTAATAAGACAATTTTACAAGCGTTTACAACAACAACATGTATAAATGATGTACTTACTTTCGTGATGTTGCTGGGAAGAAGTGATTTTCTCGTTCGCCGGTAACCGCTGAGTCGCCAGGTATCGCTGATTGGTCAATTCGTGGTTGCCGACCGGCCAATTCTTTGTAGCGATACGAGCGCTGATTGGCCATAGCTGTCAATTATTGGTAGAATCTTCGTAGCATACGGGAACGTGATTGGCTATCACTACCAAGAATGAGATATAGCGCTTAGTTAGTTTGATAACCATCAAGTAGCCGAAATACGCCTGCGAGCGCGGTTTCGAATCCCACTCAAACCCTTTTATGTCAGAACATGTAAAGGTGGAGCTTATTTATTATTTTACCATACTTTAGGGTAGGTTGTGAATACAATCAATGGATCATTTAAAGCTCCCATGTCATGCTTTTCCGGTTATTACCCGTCCCCTTGTGTGTTATGAAGGTTTTTATGCATGTAAACGGTGTGCAGAGTCAAAACCCTCAAAGTACACCCTGTAGCGAGTAAAACTCTAACACAGAAAATACCTCCCCAAAACGCCTCGTTGGAGATACGTCACTGCCCATTTGATTCTTCCGGGTACCGCCTGATGTCATGCGGTACCCGGAACGAAATGGACCAATCCCGAAGAGCTATGGCCACACCAGCAGCGGCGTGTTCCTCCTCCAGAGGTTCGAAGAACCGGCATTTCACAGACGAAAACTTCCAAAACATTGCCCAGTTTGAGGCCGGATATGCACAGCTTGTTTGGACCGTTTGGAGCAGGGGAAGATCTGGGTATACAACCTGTAAGTTTGCATTGTTATTTGTGTATTTATCAAACAAGACTGTTTAAATGTGTAAACTGTGTTGGACTGCTAAGCCATTGACACAGTGCTAACTGTGCTAACTAAGTTGCTAGAGTTTCCATATATCAACTCTAATATCAGCAGATGGCCTTGCATACATGTATCTCATAGCAGGAGAATGTCTGCATTCACACCCAAAATACCTATTGACAGTATACTCCGGGTGATTTGCCGGTCAGTCGCGAAACGTAATTACATTATAGCTGGCGTAGCGATCTAACACACGGAGCTAGAGCTAGTTTTGGTCGGAAAAACATTTTTGTGATGCTACGTTGCTAGCGTTTAAATATATCAACTACAATGTCAGCAGATGGCCTTACATGTTTGTCATGGCAGGAGAATGTCTGCAGTCACACACACGGAATACTCATACAGTATACTCTACTGTGATTTACCGTACATTGTGACCGTATGTAGCTAACGAGGCTAGCTGTATGCTAGCGCAAAACAATGTATTCATGCAAGTTACATTGTATGGTAGCAGAATACCCGTATACGATTGCAATTATAAACACGTTATTGCTAGCCTAATATGAACCACTAGCTTTTGTTCATAGTAGTTTTATTACACTGCATTATAGTTGCCTTTCCTCCAAGCTAACGTTCATATCGTGTTAGCTACCAAGGTAAACAAAGCTAGGTTAGCATATTAGCAGGCAAGCTGTTCATTACACAACTACTACTAACGAATCTAAAACAACTAAGTTTCTCTAATATTTTGTGATTTGCATTTGATTTCGTCCAGCCAGATCCTGGCGGACAATCCATGACGGGGAAGGGACTTCGACTACTACTGAGGCTTCGTGCTAAAAGGCACCGCACCGACTGTGCGCAGGCAAGATGCGAGGAGGAGGAATGAATGATATACCGTGTGTATATATGTATATTTATGTTCATTTTGTACATTTCTAAAAATAAAGTTGAATGGAAATACTTAGTAGGCCTATCCTTTCTTCCCTGAATTCATATATAGCAAACCATGATTTGATTTCTCATCAAACAGTAGTAGTTTATAACGGGTAAAAATAACTTACTCTTTGTTATGAGAGTAGCTCGTAGGCCACAACGGAAAGACAAGGAGACATACACGAGTTTACAAAACCACGGCACATTTATTGTGGTAAATGCAGAGATAGGTGGTTGAGAGGATCGCAGAGTTAGTCTTCCTGCAGCCGCTTTGGAGAGAGACTGTGTCCGGAGGTGTCCGTGATCGTGCTGATTAGCCTCTTCAGCTCCACCCCATCGTAAGACAAAGGCCCTGGGGCCGTCACACTCTTCTATAACAACAGTTAAAAATATATATGTATATAAAATATACCGCTGTACCGACGCCATGATAAGACTGATGTTACGCTGAGAGCAGCCGGGAAAAGCACTGACATGGGCGCAGCCTCTCTGGTGGTTGACTAATCAGAACGAGTGGCCGAGCTGACCAATCGGAGCACACTAGGCTCACAGGGAGGGGGGGGCAAGAGCTCCAACGAGTCGTTTAGTGGAGAAAGTGAATACTGCTGAATACACATGCTTGACAGAGATGCTGTATGCGAAACCAATGTGAGTTTGGAAAATTGCACAGTATAAATCTATTTTAGTATACCTCAACAATGTAATTATGATCAGTGGAAATGGCCATGACATGGGCCCTTTAACTACCAAGAATGAGCTCGACTCACAGGTGTAGGGCCGGTTTGGATTTTTTTGGTTGGAATTTGGCCTTATACTGCCGAATCTGTTATGCACGGTCTTTGAGCGCCCCTAGTGGTCAACATTTCACACGGCGGAACCTGTTTTACACGGTCTTTTAGCGTCTCCTAGTGGTCAACATTTCATACTGCAGGTTCATAAAGTCCATTTAATAATAGATATTGCTAATTCAAGGAGAGATCTGGTAAGATGTCATCGGTGTTAATATAAAAATACTAAAATACAATATTATCACAAGGGAAATTGAAATAGTACAATGGATATCATGTGCAACAGGTGGCTCCGTGGCGCAATGGATAGCGCATTGGACTTCTAGGTTGCAATGTAGTAATTCAAAGGTTGTGGGTTCGAGTCCCACCGGAGTCGAATTTTTGTTTGAGCACTTGGTATCGGACTCGCCCTCATTTAATAACAATCACAAATTCACACTTTTCAGTGTAGTTTGTTACATTTTTGACATTTTTCAGGGTAGGGTAACGTTAGCTAGCCGGCAACCAACCTCCACGTTAACATCAATAACATATACTACTATCTGTTCTAAATAGTTTAGTAAACTTTAATTGTTATTTAATGTCAATTTATTTGACACTTGTGGCTAAGGTTAACGTCACGGAGGTATTATTTTAAAACTAAACTCTATGATACATCCGTGATAAACGTAGCTAAGCTAGCTGGTTAGTAGTTAATATTCAACTTTGTGTCAATTTCGCAAGAAACAATCAAGTTGGTTTCCGATTGTATATTTCAAAATTAAACACAATTAAAGGAGTAAAATAATAGTAATCTAACTAACTAATTTATTAATAAATATAGTGATAATCCACTATCAACAAAACACGAAAACCCATGTCATTACGGATTAATATAAATATACAGTACAACGTGTATTTAAAAGGCCTTTGATAGAGATTAACAGTATGATTTGTTTTTATGTGGCAAATACTAACACACTGTACTATTACTTTGAAGGCAAAAAGCCCTTTTTCGTCCCGTCTACCGTCCAGATTGCAGCCAATCGGGACAACATTGTAGCCTAGCTGTTTCTAGACGAGACCAAATTGTGTTGCACCGGGTGTAACCAGCGAGCTAACGTTAGGCTAGTTAGATGTAGCTAGCTAGCTTTAGGTTCTTGTCGGTGTACGTAGCTGTAGAATGAACACAATACACCACATTGTTGAGGGACACTAACGAAACTCGCTGGTGTCACTTTATTTCATCAACACACTGCTGTTGTCGTCGACGTCTTCTGTTTAGTTGTCTTGATAATTTGCTTTCCCGTGACAGTCGGTTAGCTAGTTAGCCTCTTCAGCTAGCTAGGTACAGTAGCGTATGGGTGTCAAAGTTAGCTGTGACTTCACTTGGTGTCTGGTTGCCTGATCTCACATTTCGGACACGTCAAGGTAAACACTTAGCAATCGGCGAGTTTAAAAACTAGCTCGTAAGCTAACGATTGTTTTGCCACGTATCATGTGTTTACCGTATATGACATATGCACTGGTCAGATGGTTAACTTCGAGCAAATATGTCGAATTTCTTTACTTTAGCTCCCTTTCTTGGAATGAGCTGTTATTACGGTGACTCCCACTAGCCTTTCTGGAGCTAACTAGCTTTAATGTCAAGCTCAACAATATGTCAAAGTTTTATGCAATGTATGCTGTTATCATCTTGTTTTCTTATGTTATAATTGAACCACCTTCACATATACCTGAAAAGAGAATGTGAGCATCGTTTTTGAAGTCATGGTATCTGTGACAGTTGATAATATTAAGTTTATAGGCATTTTAGAAAACATAATCAAACTGAGTTGTTATAATCACATTCAGTCTTTCTTTTATGTACATAGTTTTGTTTGAAACTTGTTTTAGAAGTTAGTCTTTTGATCCCCACTGTTGAACTTTGACCTGTCACTCCACACTGAAAGATCAATATCAACCACCAGTATTAAATCATACTAGTGTAGTACGACGCTATAAATGGTTTAGTACTGAACTAAGGCTTTGACTAACCCACATTTCATTGTATTTTTTTGCTGATTATTCACCTATATAATGTTTTAGGCCTCATAATGTATTGCAACTTCACAATGCCCAAGATCAAGAGTAAATATGCTCACTAAGGAAGCTTTAGGCTGTGACTAGGTGGCAGTTCAGCCTTTGAGGATGAGTAAAATGATTAATAAAACAATCGCTGATTCATACTTCGGCGACATACTAACTGTTTAATAATTTCAGCCTTACAGGGGAGCATAATCCTTGTCAAGTTAATATTTTGAACTTTTATTTTTCTTTAAAAGGTTCCTCAAATCCGTCTCTTGATTTTGGGGGCTGTGATGTCGGAGCCGAAGACCCCCGTTCCCACTCCTGCTGGCGACACATACAAAGGATGGGTGTTCAAGTGGACAAATTACATCAAGGGTTATCAGCGGAGGTGGTTTGTCCTGAGTAATGGGCTGCTGTCCTACTACAGGTACACTTTCCTGTGAAACAGAAACATAGGAGGAAAGATAAGGCCTTTATCAGGTCACTAAATAAACATCTTGACCTTTATCTGCTGTAACTACTGTTTAATTACACTCAACTATCTGTACAATCCAAAGGGTACAACCAATCTTACATTCTCCATATATATTCCTCTTATTTTACCAAATGCTTTCAGATTAAAGCCTAGTTTAATTATTCCAAACAGTACATACATCATTTTTTTCACCCCAATATTTAAAATGGACATCTCTGATTATTAGGACCCAGGCAGAGATGGGCCACACGTGTCGAGGCACAATCAACCTGGCGACGGCAACCATCACCGTGGATGACGCCTGCAACTTTGTCATCTCCAATGGCGGAGCGCAGACGTATCACTTGAAGGCCAGCTGTGAAGTGGAACGCCAGCGCTGGATCACTGCCCTGGAACTGGCCAAAGCCAAGGCGGCCCGCATGCAGGCTGAGTCAGGTAAAACAAACAAACAAACAAACAAACACACAGGCAGATGGGAAAAAAAAAGGTATTAATCAGTGCACTGTAAACCTGATTGTCTGCAACAAGATAGGCAGATAAGGCTCTGTGAATTCCCCTTTCAGCTGAAGGCTCCTTCCTACTTAAGATTGTAATTGTCATAACTACACTGTAGCTATGCACACATGACAATAAAAGCCTTGAAACTTCCTGTTGCTTTGATCTCTAACAGATGACTCAGGGGATGATTTTCCCTCGTCATCCCCGCCCGCCGCACCCGGACAAGGTGGCGGTTCGCAGAATTCCGAAGTGCAGTCTGCTCTCCGAACACTAGGCAGCAAGGTGGAGGATCTCAGCACTTGCAACGACCTCATTTCAAAGCATGGCTCTGCCCTCCAGAGGTCAGGCTTTACCAACTTTTTGGTTCTTATTTTTTTGCTTTACCTTTGCTTCCCTCAGTCCAAAGTTTCTCATGTCATCTTAGCTTAGAAATACGGAATCAAAAACGTATTAAACATACACGCACAATACTAATGTTTGGCATGATAACCCCAAGTTTTGTCCTTGTATCCTCATTTTGCTGTTTCATTGCCATAAACTCACGAAATAAAGGTGTTGAACTATTTGCAAAACAGCAACAATGCCTAGTTAAAACCATTGAATCTCGAGCTAAGTGTGATTTACACTGTGATTCGCTTATATATTGTTGTGCCTTATGATATATATTTCAGGTCTTTATCAGAACTGGACAGTTTGCGTCTTACCGGAGAAGCTGGGGATAAGATCCGTCAGGTGACAGAGAGGGCCACGCTGTTCCGTATCACCTCTAATGCCATGATAAATGTAGGTGTTTCCTCCTTTGTCTGCCTATTTCTTTGCCTTGTCTTTCATATATAATGTGTAAATAAAACGGGGCTATTTAAATCTATACTACATGCAACCTGTACTCTGTGAAGGCCATAATAACTTGTCAAAATTGCTCATAATTATTGTATCTTGGGTCTTAATGGTTCTAGTTTGACCCGGTTTGATGTGTCCCCCCTCAGGCGTGCCGAGACTTCCTTGCGTTGGCTCAGGCTCACAGCAAGCGATTGCAGAAGGCCCTTCAGGCAGAACGGGACCAGCGGGTTAGGCTGGAGGAGACTTTAGAGCAGCTGGCCAAGCAGCACAACCAGCTGGAGCGAGCCTTCAGAGGGGCTTCACAGTCTAATGCTACTGCAGACAATAAAAGTAAGGCGTGACTCTGAACACTACACAAAAAGTTACCTGAAAACTCCTGCTATAACTCCTCTATCTTCATTTGACTGATTTCTTTCTCAAAAGATGTGAGCATTGTTAATCTCTTAATGCTTTAAAAGGCATGGCCCTCAAAACACCTTTTGTACATTGAACTGTCAATTGTTATCAGCAATAAGGCTTTGTTTCCACTATATTCATCTGTGAAAAAACTAGGGTTTAGTCAATTATGAATTGTTATCAGTCACTACATCATATAACACTGATTCGATTGTTTTTTAAGGTGCTTCTGGGCCGGGAAAAGGTGAGGGGAGCGATGAAGACGACGACAACGAGTTCTTTGATGCCATGGAGGAGGCTCCTGAGTTTATCACTGTCCCTGCAGACCCCCACTTTCACAAGTAAGTGCACACTCCCTCCCCCACGGTCGTTATTGCGTAATAAACCTGGACAGAGTGAGCAGCTTGCTTTTGCTCCTGTCTTTTCACATTCTCACACTAAAACAGACATTCCTTTCTCTGTTCGGAAATTGAACTGTATTCTCGGTAACTGCCTGCTATGAAGAAATAGCAGCATGTACAAAGCTGTAATTGATGAGTTGGGTGTGTAACAAATGACGTTTGTTAAAAAATGTTTCCCGCACATACAGTCACACAAGGAAACGTATCACCTTGTGTGACATGTTTCCCGCAGATGCAGTCACACAAGGAAACATATCACCTTGTGTGACATGTTTCCCACGCATGCAGTCACCCAAGAAAACCTTGTACTGTATGACCCCAAATTCCTCTAATCCTTGTTTTTTTTAACTCAGTTCCTTGTATGTCACTCTTGGGTTGATGTTTTGGCACTTCCTTAATTGTGATTGATTTATTTGGATCGGTTAGTTTAAAGTAATTCCCTCTCTATTTCCTTGTATGTTGAAGTGGCTGAAACCAGAAACCTCCCAGACACTGACAGATACTCCTCACCCTTTTGCTTTTCTTTACAGAAGGTCAAGCAGTAATATCAGCGGTTTCAACAGTGAAATGTGTCCTGATGATCAATCGGTAGGTTTCACTCTGACCTCTGGGTTGACTGTTAAAAGAATGGTTCGCTGTTTATAAGGTAAAACATAGTGAACTAGGGGTGGTACATTTCCAAATATGAATGCTTTGATTGTGCTACAGTCATAATAAATCAGATCAGACAGATGTTTAATAAAAAAAGCTTGTAAATCACTTTTAAAAGCGCTTATTTCCACACACTTTTATGCTTGTTATTGACCTATTTTTTGCATTTTAGCTCAACGAGGAGCCTCTAGCGATGAACCAGGAATCCCCCTCTCAGGAGTTGGTGCCGCTGAAGAAGCGGAGGACACGCATTTCAGACAAACCCAACTATTCTCTCAATCTGTGGAGTATCATGAAGAACTGTATCGGCAAAGAGCTGTCCAAAATCCCAATGCCTGTGAGTATTTTTAAGAGGTTACTCCAGATCAGATGTCACTTACAGGAATTATGTTAGTTGGCATGACCAGAAAAGACTCCACCTTTTTCTTCTTTGTTGCAAGAATGCATTCAGTCAAACAAGCTAACAAGTGTGTTTTAAGAGACTGATTGACTTCTGGCACCAAAACATTAAGGTGATGCCAGGTCAATCAAAAACACAGATCGTCTTCATGTCTTCAGTTCCTGTTGGACAACATTCTGCCAGAGCCATCCAAGTTTAAAGTGGCTCTATTGGCAGCTTAATGGGACCAGTGACGATCAAGTTGTGCACTTAATCAGCAGATACGCTGTCGATTAACATTCTCCGGTCTTTACTTAGCTTTCTTTTGTTGGCCCTTGTTTCGTTTAGATCAAAAACGATCTGCTATAGCGTGCAAGTTTCTTCTTCTTTCAAAAACAACATTTGAGGCGCTTGGTTTGTAAATACACACACAACTTTCACACAATGAAGAGAAACAAAAACAGAATGCAAAGAACACATCCGACATGGGGCGACAAACATTGTAAGATCAAATGAAACAAATGAAAAAAGCACATAATCGAGTTATGAATAAAATTGAAGCTGGACAAAAGAACTACAAATAATATAGAACATATTACCATACAGTCCTGGCCTCCCCCAAATCATATAACCATTGTTAACAGCAGTCATTATTATTATATATCCATAATAACAATGACTGCTGTTCATCTACACAACAGTGGAACATGTTGATTTAATTATTGGCAATAATATAATACTCGTAATCTTATTACCCTTTATCAAACTAGTATATTCTTACTAAAAACTATATTAATTAACTTGACAGGAAATAAAAAAAAGGATCCCTATCAATGTAGCTTGTTTATACTGATGCTTCTATACTGTTATCAGAATAAAAAACATCATATTAGCCTGTATTGATAGGGCTCATATATAATGTACAGTATGTCATATCATATAAGTGAATGCCCTGTATTTAAATGTGTGTCAATCTGTGAGTGGGCCTTCTCCTAGGAAGACATTAAAAGTATACATTTACACTTCAAACATCATTTTATGGGCACTTTAAATGATAAGGATTGCACACATGATTCACATCTGAGTAATTCTGCTCTCCAGGTAAACTTCAACGAGCCCATCTCCATGCTGCAGCGGCTGTCGGAGGACCTGGAGTACCACGAGCTGCTGGACAAGGCCTCCAAGTGCCAGAGTTCCCTGGAGCAGATGTGCTACGTGGCCGCCTTCTCCGTGTCCTCCTACTCCACCACCGTCCACCGCACGGGCAAACCCTTCAACCCCCTGCTGGGAGAGACGTACGAGCTGGACCGCCGGAGAGAGAGCGGCTACCGCTCCCTCTGCGAACAGGTGAGAGACAAACAAGCATGCAGACACGCAGGGAAGTGAGATCCAGCAATGCCAGGAAGGAAGACATGAAAAATCCTGTTGGCTCAGCATTTTCGGAGTGTTTTGCTTCCTTTTTCTGCATGCACAGAGAGGAAGCATTTGTGCCTGTCTACTATTCTAACCAGGGATAAACACAGGTGAAAAAAGTACTTCAACTTAAATAAAAGAAGAAATACCAGAGTGTAGGAATACTAATACGAGTAAAAGTCCTGCAATCAAAATGTACTTAAATTACCAAAAGTAAAAGTACTCATTATGCAGATTGGTCCGTTTCAGAATAATATATATGATATGTTTTGATTATAATTACTCATGCATGAGAGTGTTTTCAAAGCTGGTACATTTGAATTACTTTTTAAACTGCAAGGTGATTATATTTCACATCGTTAATCCAAATCTGCAAAGTAGCTAAAGGTATTAAATAAATGGAGTGGAGTAAAAGTACACAATCTACCTCTGAACTGTAGTGGACTAGTAGTACAAAGTAGAATAAAATGAGTGGTAAAGTACCTAAAAATTGTACTTAAGTGCATTATTTGAGTAAATCTACTTTACTGGGAATAAGAGAGCAGGTTTATCATAAATGAGGGTCAGAGGAGTGATTGTATACAATGCATTAACATACATGAAAACGCAATTTCTCTGAAGAAGGAAAGGATGTTAAAGCAGAGGTGGGAAATTAATTTGTGAATTGCAGAACACATAATTCAGGCTTAGTGTTGGCAAATTAGACCGGCTAAAAGGTTTACATTTCTGAAAACCCAAGAAATAAATCCAGTAGAAAAACTAATCCAATAAATGTTGCTTTCAGGCAGTAGATCCGGCTGCTGTGGAGAAGGATTTATAGATAAATAGAAGTTTAATTAAGTCACAAAAGCTTTCAATAAAAATTACCAAGTAGCAGATATAATTAAACCCTTTTGTACTATAAGTAGTATAATTATATTTGATATTTACAGAGTACATTGTTCATGCTCTGCGGTCTAACAATAGGGTTTTTCATGGTGATGATAAGTCGGCCAGTTATTCTGTTTTTATGTAACACTAATGTGAGTCATAGCTATTAGAGATAATTCAAACCAATAAAGAAACAACACAAAGACACTTTAATCTCTCCAGTGCTCTTTTTATAAACTAATCCATGCATCACTTCTTAACCACTCTCTCAGGTGAGTCACCACCCCCCCGCGGCAGCGCACCATGTGATCTCGGATCGCGGATGGACTCTGAGGCAGGAAATCACCGTTGCCAGCAAGTTCAGGGGAAAATATCTCTCCATTATGCCTTTAGGTAAGTGACGGTGCGGTTTGTGGACATATTTGACATGCCTTGCGGTCTGATGTTGACGTAGGTTTAGGGTATGATCCCACCTTTGCGGTTATTTCCATGAAGACAAACCAGTTATGACAGCCTAATAATAGATCTGTGCATAAAGCATAAAGAATTACGCAGTCACACCTTTGTTTAAAGGTAGCTAGACGTCTACATATATTTCAACAACAAACAATGGTTTGTTTTGACACATGACGAACATTTGGCTCCACCGTCTGCATTCCTTCTCTCCCCCGCAGGCACCATTCACGCCATCTTTGAGAAGGGCAACAATCACTACACATGGAAGAAAGTCACCACCACAGTGCACAACATCATCGTGGGGAAGCTGTGGATCGATCAGGTGAGACATATGTACATTTTACAATTGTATAAACTGTAAAATCACAGAGTCCACCTATAAACTGTGCCAGAAAATAGATTTAAAAATATTTGTTTGTGTAGAAATATTGCAATCCCTTGTCTTCCTACATACCCCCTGCAATCCCCTCAAGTACCACTAGGGGTCCATCTATCCCCGGTTTGGAACCACTGGTGTTGAAATATAACCCTTTAGAAAGTGTATGTATTTTTGCCAACCCGAAATTGGAAACATGAGACAATATATGTTTAAAAAAAAAAAAAAAGCGTATTTCTTTCTTTAAATCGTTCTTTCCTGTTCTCTCTGCCAGTCAGGAGAGATAGACGTGGTGAACCACACCACAGGAGACCGCTGCCACCTGAAGTTTGCTCCCTACAGTTACTTCTCCAGAGATGTGGCCAGAAAGGTGAGAAGAAGATGCATAAAATCAGACCTATGACAGATTCTATTTGTTGTTTTTAACACTCTTTTCCTCCTTTCTTCAGGTGACAGGTGTAGTGATGGACAAGGACGGCAAGGCCCACTACGTGCTGTCGGGCACGTGGGACGAGAAGATGGAGTTTTCCCGGGTGATGCAGAGCAGCCTCGGAGGAGAGAACGGCACCGAGGGCAAACAGAAGACGGTCTATCAAACCCTGAAAGCCAGAGAGGTTTGGAGGAGGAACCCTCTACCGTAAGTCCCTCAGGGTTAGGTGTCTGAACCTCTATCTTTCTCATATAACCCACTGTAAAGCAGTGATACAGCAAAGACGTACCAAAGATAATTCTGGTTGTTAATACTTAGATGGGTGGGCCTTATGAGCCTGCATGTCACACAGGAAGTAGAGCCAAATCAGAATATCTTGATGAATCCAATGTCGGACCTGTTAGGCATATATTTTGTTAATTGAGTAACATGCTAAATAATCTGATTCAGAATTCATTTAGAGCCTGAAATTCAACAAAAGGGTAGAGATCATAGAAATAATTACAGTCTGGCAGCGATAAAGAACCAGAAAATACAATGTAGTCTTGCAGAGATAAGGAGCAGATATATAATAACTTAACAGAATGTCATGGTCTATTGAGCCTTTTGATTTAAGTGCTGCTGTGTATCTCTCCTTTGTCGTACCACAGTGAGGGAGCAGATACCATGTACTACTTTACCTCCTTGGCGCTGACCCTAAATGAATACGAGGAAGGCATATCGCCCACCGACAGCCGGCACCGGCCCGACCAGCGCCTGATGGAGGAAGGCCGCTGGGACGAAGGCAACTCGGAGAAGCAGCGGCTGGAGGAGAAGCAGCGCATCGTCCGGCGGGAGAGAGAGAGGGAAGCCGCCAGCCAACGCACTGCCAGCCAGTCAGAGGAAGGTGAGAGTCCAGCGTGTGTTCACTTTGTCTGTTACCCCTTTTCCACGAGGTGATTTTGCAGCCAGTGGCTGATAGCAAACCAGTTTTAGTATAGTAGTTAAACTGCAGCAGCGCAAGCTCTTGACCCTGAAAACGGGTTCAACCATGAATCAAGTATCTGCTTTGCGAGTCCAAGAACAAAGAGCATAAGACGCTAACGTCAGAATCTGCGGCGGAGCCAGAGTAGGAAGTCTAGAACGCGCTAACACATTATATATATGTATATATATACAAAACGCAACACTACCCAGGCATATGTGTTACATATTATTAATTATTGACCATACTTTGATTAAAACCTGTGTTCAATTTCAGTGTAACTACTCATTCAAAGCGTTTATGGTGAATAATAATATGCCATCTGTCTGCCTGTTCCGCAACGTGGAGTTGCATAGTGTGTGACATGCATTCGTCCATTAAACATGGCAAGTATTATTCAAGTATTATTTAATGCTGGCTCTCAATCTTGTTATTGTATAGTCAGACTGGCTTTGGAAGCTAGAGAAACTTCACATTGTTTATTAACTAGGCTGTGCTACAATATTTTGTCAATTAAAACTGAAGAAAATATGCATCAGGCTGCGTTACTGGCGAGAAAGTGAATTACTACTGCTGTCGCAATTCAGCGGTAAAGCATGAGGTAAATGCTCATGAGTCATAGTGCCATAATATTAGCCAGGTCACTCTGGAGATGAGTATATAGTTAGAAAAGTAGATCTAGCCTCTTAGCAACATGAGCACAGCTCCACCGCGGTCCACCATTGTTGTTAATTTAAGGGTTATTCATGTGATTGCTCCTCTGGGGCTGTGGTTGGTGGAAAAGCGAACTGCTTCTCAAGTGTTTCGCAAGTTGAACCAACTGCAAACCAAACTAGCCCTAAACGGAACTCATTTCAGTGGAAAAGGGGTAAGTGTTGCCCTCTACCATGCATGGGGAAAAAATCATAAAATGAAGGGGTAAAAAAAGTCTCTGTGATCCCCTTTTCTCTTCCAAAAGCTGTCGATGAGGACTCTCTAACTGATCCGTCCTTAAAAAGCAAGTACTCCTTCACTATTCAACCGACAACTCATGCTTTAATTCGGTTCCAATCTCCTGTCTACCTTATTGTCTTTTTTGGTGACACCATTGTTTTGTCTTCTTTTTCCAGGCGCACCTCACGACAGCCACCTGGCACTTTGGTTCGACCGCTGTGAAGACCAGATCACGGGGGAACAGGTCCACATCTATAAGGGAGGCTACTGGGAAGCCAAGGACCGCGGCATCTGGGAGGGCTGTCCGGACATATATTGACCTCATCTTTGACTGGAAAGTGCCCCCCGAAGAGACTGACCCTTGGAAGCCGCCTAGTGCACGGCTACCACAAAAGGCCGGCTCTCCCCCCCCCCCGCTCCCCCCACCCCAACAATTTGGACGGTTGCCTTCCTCCCGGTGGCTCTCTGTTCTAAGAGATCTCCAGGTGATCACTGCTGTCTGATCCAGAGAAGAGAGCAGGGTTTCTCCTCTGGCCTCATCCCATTTCGGTTCCTGTACTCCCTTTTGTTGCTGTCACACATATGACAGGACTGGAAAGAAATTATTTGTGCTGCTCAGCATAAAGGGGGGGGGGGGGGGGGCAGTGCTTCCAAATCATTAGTAGATTCTTTTTTTTAGTCTCTCTGCTCAAGTCTCTCCCAGATCAGGAGCAGAAGAGGGTTTTCGTGCTGATCACACCCTGTGAGATAATGTAGTGTTCCCATTCAAAAGCATTGTGTGCTTTGGTAATAACTCTTAAAAAAAAAAAAGGGGGGGGTAAGACCTGGTTAATATATACATTTATATATGATTCAAATAATTTGTCGACTGGTGGCCTTCAACACGTTAGCGAGGATCTCTTGTTTCTCTCTCTGATTTAGTGTCTTAATGTAACTAACTGAAGGTTCTTGTGTGCGTGTGTGTGTGCGTGTGTGTGTGACTGCATATCTGCTCTTCCATCACTTTACTATTAACACTGCCACTGCGCAGTATGCTGTTCAAAAGAAGGAATGATTGTCCGAAATACCGGTTGAACCTCCACACTGTGTGTATTATAGTTAGAAGAGATACTTTCTCATTCACAAAGGCCTCATGAAGATGATGGTGACAACTTTGAAGGCCAAAACACCCTTTCTCTTCGCCTTAGATACGAGCGACCTGCTCTCACATCACACCCGAGTGATCATGATGCTGACATTTGTAGCTGGTTTCTCATACAAACATTTCAAACGTTGAAGAAGTAGTCGTGAAAAGACTATAGAGCTGCAAAATCGCTTGTTTCAGTGGTGAAAAAATGTCATTAGTGCAGTTTTTTTCCAACAAAATGATCCAAGTGTGCGGCAGTAAACATGTTTTTGGGATACGTAGTGTGCTTTTTTGTTAAGAGGAACACAACAAAATGAGAAAAAACAATTATGAGTCAATGCAGTGGTTAAAAGAAACCGCTGTTAATCTGCTGAAGAGTTCATACATATGCAAAGTACATTTTGACACCAAAAACATGGGGTATAATGTGAGCGTGCGCGTGTGTGTGGATTTCATAATTTCGTTTGGAAGTGTACTTAAAAATGAAGAATAAAGAAACAAAGAATTTAAAAGCATTGCAAATAACTATGATTTTATAAATGTATAGAAATTCATATAGTATTGATAACTGTAAAGTAGGTTTTTTTTCTTGTTTTTATTCAGTCCCTCATAATATTGTAAGAGGACTGTCTTCGTTTTCAGAAAAAAAAGGGAGTTTCCATACTTGACTGAGAGGGAAGACATGACATTGCTCAGTACTTTGTGTTAAAGAAAAAATAATCTGTAATATCAAATGCTGTGATGTCTAAAAAAAGAAGCTTTTCATACTGTTCTCTAATACCATTTGTTACATTTCCATTAACTAAGTAACACAATTATTGCCAAATCAATTATTTGGGAATTTCTGCCCTCATGTTTAGTAGGTGCTCCAGATGGGATGACATAATGTTGTCAATAAAACAATAAAAACCCAAATGAAAACACGTTGTTTCAGCCTATTTTGTTATGTATGTGTACAATGTGTCACATGTAAGCAAATATGGTACCAACTGACCATTTGATTTATAATAGTTGATTGCAAAAGCATGTTTAAAATGAAGACGATGGAACCTAAAGAATGCCTTTTTTCATTAATAACTCATCATCAAATCATTTCAGTCTGTGGTCCCGCAATTGAATTTGCTTCAGTTGAACTGGTTTGGATGGCAGATGTTCTTCACTATCCATCAGTGCAATTGTTGTTTTTCACACTTGTACGGTAGGTTGTTGGTCAGTTTGGTTACAATCTCTCTCTACCTCCACACAGGAGCATTTTGAGTGTACTTAAATGGACAAAACTCACAAAAAACTTTAAGATGAATTTGATTGGTTGTTATGAAATCTGTGTTAAATCACTAGCTGGTTCTCTTGTTATTATCCCTGCGAAAAGAGCCATTTCTTTCACTGTCCCACACCACAAGCGCCTCTCCTGCTGTGTCATGCCAGCAGATTTGTTTTTAGCCAATTTCTTTTTTGAAAGGCAGACTGGAACCTACCATCCTATACATGGGGCAGAGAGAAATGGGGAGCCGGGGAGGGGTTTCACAGCTGTCGGGACCAAAGGAAGCAACCGTTGCACCGCATCACACTCAGGACACACCCTATAGGACACAGTGTGGTACAGTGCAGTGCAGTGGACAGGAGGTGGTAGAGAGACGGTGAGAGTTTGCATAACAGGCAGCCTGTACAGGGGGGAGAGATGGGAATGCTGAATCAGTGAAACTGCATGAAAGCTTGGGAGAGGTGGGAAGAGGGTAAACAGCAGGGGGAGAGGGGTGGTTTGGGTAAGATGTACAGTACGGCACCGCGTCATTCATTTCCTCTCTTAATGGTGATTGTGGAGCTGACCTCAAGTTAAGAGACTTTTAATCTCAGTGCTGCTTTTAGAGTACATTTCTCGGGTTGAGAGCAGGAACTGCATCTGTACAGTTTCCAGCAAGCGAGGTAAGGTTCCACAAATCAATATCTCGGCTTTGTGTTAAAGTTGTCTACAATGTACCCAGTGACATTAACGCTGGATGTGCCTCCCACTGAGTGAAACCAGGTTAAATGTGTTGACTTTTCACATGGTGTATAAACGGAGAAATCACAATTTGTGCATGTGCCGCCAGTAATGTATCTCTGATGTGTCACTCAGATGGAGGTGGACGAGCTGGTGTGTTTGCCAAGGTTGCCCCGGGTCGCTGTGTGCGGCGGTACCCATGGCAACGAGCTGTCCGGGGTGTACTTAGTGAGAGAGCTGCTGAAGATGGAGAAGAAAGTGACGAAGGAGGAAGAGGAGGAGGAGGAGGAGGAGGAGGAGGATGAGCGTGTGTCGGTGCTGATGGTGCTGTCCAACCCGAGGGCCATGTTGCAGTGCCGCAGATACGTCGACACCGACCTCAACCGCTGCTTCACCCGCGCCACCCTCAAGTAAAGTGATGGGTGGGGGTGTTGATGCTCCAACAGTTGTGGTGATGAGTCGTGATCTGATTGTTTCTCTGTCTCCCAGCGGTCCAGTGTCAGACGTTGCACCCTACGAGATTACCAGAGCCCTAGAACTGAACCGCATGCTGGGTCCCAAAGGGAGTCCTGCGGCGGTGGATCTTGTTTGCGACCTCCACAACACCACCGCCAACATGGGCCTGTGCCTCATCGCATACTCCGACTGCGACTGGATCTGCCTGCACATATTCAAACACCTGCAGGCAAGCAGCTCCTACACACTCAAATATAAACAACTGAAACTAAAAGATAGAACCAAGAACTGAGATTTGTTTTTCGACTGACAAGTGAAATATGTCATCTTTTAGAGGGAGATGCCAGATGTACCAATAAGATTCATCCATTTCGATGTCTCCAGTAAAGAGTCATATTCCCTCGATTCAGTGGGAAAACATGGCTTTGGTAAGTGTATCATTTTTCCAATAACAATAGTTTGAATGCTGGATCATTTTCTCATCTTGAATCCATTTTCTGCAGCCATGGAGATCGGCCCCCAGCCCCACGGGGTTGTGAGGTCAAACGTTTATACGGCGATGAGAGTTGGCGTACAGAACATGCTAGATTGGGTCCGCTTCTTCAACTCAGGTGAAGTCTTGAAAACATTGACATTTTTTAAAACCCTTTTGGTTTTGTTCTAAACCCCCAAATGTGTTTCTTTTCAGGTACTATATTTGAAGGAGGATTTGTGGAGGTGTTTTCCATGGTTAAACACATCGACTACCCAAGAGACAGGGAAACGCGCACCATCACAGCAGCCATTCATCCTCAACTCCAGGTACGGACTTATTTTGAGCTTGAAGCATTAATAAAAGCAGTTGCCCTTTGTCCGATTTAAGTATAGCCTAATCTTGTATAACCAATAACAAAAGATTACAAACTTAGCCTAACACTTAAATACAGGACAGTTAATGCATGACCAGCACAGAAGAAAGGCCTTTTGTCCTGAGCTGGATAATGAATTGTGTCTGTGGGTAAGGTGACCTTGGCATTGTATAAAATATGAAGCCAAGTACAGGACTATTGTTTCCGACAGGGTGGAGTCCTTCCTGTAAAATAGCTTCATACCAAAGAGCAATCATGAAACCGCATGACGCTCGAAACATACCAGTGCAAATCTTTCATCAGCAGCTGGCAATTGGATTATGTTAGTTATGTTTTACAAAAGCTAATATTTACTCAAAGCTGATGATTCCCAGTCATCATTGTTAAATAATATTATAATAGTTGATTATAAAAGCATGACTCAAGCACGTTGCCAGTAAGCATAATAATTTGTAAGCAGGAACTCAACTGGGGAAGTTTGAAGGACGGCTCATCAAATATTTATCTTTTCACAGCAACACCTTGATATCATTTGAATTGTTAAATAGTTTTAGAGATAAACGTGTGTTAATTGGTAAATATGTTGGAATGATTTGCCGACGTAACCTAGAAAGTCTCTTAGTCAACGCACAGCAGGCACGCATAACAGTCAACATCAAGATTTTTGAACAAGTAATATTTACTGAGTTAAAAAAATATATATTTCAGGAAAAACCTCCTATTTTCCCTATCACTGGTTACCAATGATATACACTGTTGCCCATAAAGTAAGAATAGAATACGTTTTTACCTGTGATTTATTCTTGATATATGGTCTCAAAACTTTATTGATCAATCTCTTCCAAACATCACAGTGAAAATTAAACAGGAATAGAAAGAGGAATGTGTCTGAAAACAAAATTATTCCAACTTTATGGGAAGAACTATAGAAAATAGCAATTGGTGGATTAAGATACAAGTATAATAGTGCCTGATAAAAATGCGTTGTCATCATCTGTGACTGGCATGAATAAAAGCCTTTCTGTTGTCAGGTGTTTGGCAGATTTCCAGTGAGTCAGTGAGGTTTGTCACTACAGATCATTTCATTTTTGGTAATTAGGTCACACAACCAGGGAGGGCATTACTAACCAACAGATAACCCTGATTGTGTTTTCAAATCGTTCCGGCAATCGGGCGTCATGGAAGGAATGGTGTTGACAGAATATGGAGTCTGTCCAACTTTTTAAGAAAACATTTTTTGTTTTCTCAAGTCACTTCAGAAGATATGTCTGAACAAGTTAAATAAATAAACGACTTATTGTCTGCTGGCTATATTTAGTCTACAGTTATCCTACAAAATCCTCTTCTTCAAAGTCCTTTTAATAATTTATCCTTTCTTTCCTCTGCGTCAATACTTCATTATCCAGCTTGCTTGGACCTATAGCCTTAACACATTGTTTACGGCTTTAAATCCTCACAAAGTAGTGCACATTGGAAATGTTTAATCTCCCAGGTTTTGCTCATTAGCTTTCACCCTAATTTGCTTTTCCTCCCCACAGGACCGAGACTTCTGCCTGCTCCACCCTGGAGACCCACTGTTCCAGACTTTCTCAGGAGAAACTCTGCCGTATAAAGGCAAAGAACCTCTTTACCCTTTCTTTATCAATGAATGTGCTTATTACGAGAAGGGCATCGCTCTCTCCCTGGCGAGAAAAAGGCGCGTGATGATTCCCTCTATCCGGGTGCAGACAGAGCATGAGCAGGAATCGTACGTACAGGAATTCACTTCAGAGGAAGAGGAATGAGGATGGACTTTTTAAATCAAGCGCCATGATGAGAATGATGTGACATAAAAAAACCTTTTACAAAATCTTTTATAGAAACGTTGCTTGGAACACGCATGTGAACACTCGTTTACACTCACACATGATATTTAAGTGAACAGTTATTAACCGTTTGAGCTCAAAAACTGGTGAGAGGACAACACATTCACTTTTCACAAAAGCACAGTCATATATGGACAATTGCTGATATATTAATGCTACAGTGGATTCAGGGATAGAACAATATCTTCAATTAAAAGGCTGAAAATGCAAAATACAATCTGGTTGATCAGAATATCCATCGTACCACACACAGTGCATCATTTCACAGACTTTTCTGAAAGCGTGAAGCTTGTGGTAACTTATATATCTGCAAACATTTAGCATAGTGTTCCAGGTAATATCTTTTTCTAAACTTGTTTTATTTGTAGGACGCTTCAAAAAATAGAAATTCACTACTTACGACTACAGCAACTTTCAGGATATGTTCAAGAATAATTTAAGTGCAAAGGAATACTTTAGATTATCACAATATGGCCTTTAAGTACATTCATAATGCCTAACAGGGAACTAACTGGTTCCCTTAAATCCTGTTGAATTGAAATGGTAGTAACACATTAGAAATAGAAGGAACAAATAGAATTGAAATAAATAATAACAAATACAGCTGAATTCACAAGGGAAATCAATATATATGAGCATGTAAAAGCAACAAAACAAACACTTAATAGTTGGAAACCACTACTATGTTCAAAACCATACACCTTTTAGATTTTTTCTACAAAAAACTACAAAATCAGTCAAAAAATGATTTAAAAAAACACGGCAAATAAAACAATTCATTGGGGTAACAAATTATAAACACAAACACAGTCTGAATTGCCATGAATAAATAAATGTCACTTAAAAAAAGGGATTTATTTATTTTCGTATATTTCGAACCTTATATACATAATAGTCATAGCCTCTCTTACTGTACTCTTCATAGATGCTAACTATGTTTTGAAGCAGCAAAAGTAAGAAACTGATTGCACAACCGCTGAATAGTCATAATAACATATCTTATGGATGAGTGTCTTGCTGCAGTGCTAGAGGAACCAGTACACCTGCTGTGTCAGGTGTTTTTCGTAAGTACAACAAAAGGGAAATGCCACCCACACCCTCCTGACTTTGGGTGTGACCAGAGATGCAAAGACTAGAAAGTCACATCCAGAACAGTGTGTCCCAAATCCCCAACACAAACCTAATATACTATATTCTTTATAGTATCAAATAAATCTGAGATCCTCGGACTTCCTGCTAAAGAGTTGTTTTAAAATGCTCAACCCTTGTTTTTGTTGGATTAAATCTCCAAAACTCATTTTAAATAGCTGATGTTGCGATTCCAGAAGGATCTGGTCTAATATACGCTTAATAATTTAATAAACATGTGATGTGCATATGTTGTATTTGGAACAATGGGACACAGCAACACCCCTTTAATCTAACCTGACAGGGCAAGAAACTAGCTGTGAACATTAGCAAATATGAAATGTGCATGCGTCCGTCAAATAATTACAAAAGGAGAGTTGAATCTGTTTCAGTCATACTTTTATCGCTTGATTATTAACATACATCTGGCTAATTTGAGGATTTGTTTCCTGTCGTGTTCATCTTATTTTTAAGTGATGTAGCTGCGTACTCAATATCAACAATTTATTGGTGGAATTAATATCCAAAACTGTTTTTCCCTTTTCCAATTTAAGCAAATATATGTAACTCTTTCTGGTTGACCTTTTTCAAACTAATTCCCATAGAGTGGTCAAATCTTTTAATGCAGCAGATAGGGGAATTTCTATAAATGACATGCACTCTAATCCCACAGAGGTCAACATGTACAGATTAACCTTTTCCCGTGAGATCGATATAAAATGCATCTTGGTGACAGAGAGGGGTATGAATTTCAACTTTGCAGAGGGACTGAGATGAATGTCAGTCTATGCCACCCGGTAGGCGGTCATGCGGTAGTAATTCTGACTGTGGCTACGTGCCGCCCACAACAGCAACGCAGCGGCCATCATGTGGAGCGGTGAGGAAATGAGGGCCAAGTAGAGGGACCAGCCCAAGGAGCCATCCACCTTATCAGGCAGCATCGAAACCCTGTGGAGCAGGTCCATCCCCGCCAGGTAGCAGCACACCGTGGCTAAAGTGCAGAGCCCTGCAGGGCACAAAATGTGTTGTTTTTAATGTAGTCTTTTTGCAATAAAATTAAAACAGTGAGCTGAAGAACACAACAATTATCTGTATAGGTGATAATCAAAGCATCTGCCACAGCTGCAACATGACAGGAACAGATCAAGTTGAGGGTGTGATCATGCGCCTGCTGACTGATTTTACAAAAGCGCTGTGCAATGACAATGACTAAGATAGGCGTGTGCCACAACATACAATTTACTGTCTGCAAACAAGTTGATTGTCTGGTTAAGGAATTTAACATCATGGTGCAAAGGGATTTTTGTTTGCCTCTCTGCAAGGCTTGAGGGATGTGAATGTTGTTCTGTTGAACCACTTTGGTATAGAAAACATATTTTAAAGCTATCACATGAGTTGCACCTTTCGCGGTCCCCAGAGGATGAACCCTTACCATTTTGGTGATTCTGTGACGAATATTCTGTGGCATTATTATGTCCAAATTCAAAATGTTCACATACTTTTATTATTTTATGATATACCCATCAGTGTTAGTTGTTGCTTATTGCTGATAAGAAACTGTAAGTTATATCTTTTTTAACCATGTTAAACATGTTACATGCCTAAACGTAATCATTCCTATTCAAAGCATCCTGACATTTACAATCATATCCTCATAGTCAAGCTATCATGGCTGTAAACGCTTATTTCCGTTTACTCTATACGTTAAAAAACCTTCAGGAATATAAAATGATTGCCTTTGTTTTGTTTTACTGTATGTTAATGGTTAGTTAGACTCAAACCAAATCAATTTTGAGCCAATCTTTTTTCAGAAGAGAATAGGATTCAAACTGGGGCCTCTGTGACTCCTCAAAACCAAAATATTGGACATCAGTTCAATCTCAAATTACAGTCACATAATAGCAACTCTCAAATTCCAGATGTAGTTCCGCACACATTAACCAATTGGGTGATTCATACGGTAAAAGCTAGCATTTACTAATGAGTGGTTTGGTATCTTTGAATCGGTATTACCAGCCAGCAGGTGAAGTACTCCTATGCCAAGGATGGGGGTGAGGCTTCGGCAGAGGCAGGCACAGAACCCAGTCAGGCCCGCCAACACCACCAGACCCAAGGACACCAGTGGCAGCAGAAACTGGCACCTCCACAAATCTACACATAGACACAAAAATATATGAGTCATAATTCGCTCAGCTTCCAGAAAAAACTGCCCTGATTGGAGACACTGTATTATTAAACATGCCCAATGGGTCAGAATACACGCACTACTCGAGAATGAATGTGATTCTAGTTTTTACAGCTTCAGGCGACCTACACATTTAGATGCACATGCTAAGACTGAACTCACAGGTGCGCAGCATGTCCTCTCCACTGTTGTGGTTGCCTGGTTCTTTATACTTGGGAGTGAACTGCTGAGGTAGGCTGAAGCTTCGACACTCCAGCATCATCTTGGCATCTGAAAGAGGTTTTGACACAAAGAGCAAGTATGAGCATGTATTATAAAGTGTAATACAAGTCATAAACATTCACTAACTTTTTTGTCTTCCTCTTGTTGGCATTGTGTATCTTCCATTGGACATATTGGAAAACTAAAACATTGAAATAAATATTTACACAGGGTTCATAAAAATTAAAAGTAGTGGAACCCTGGGCAGTTGCTAGCAGGAAAACCCACCCTTGATCTTAAAACAGATCTGACAGCATCTGGGTGGATTACAACATACACAGAGCTTTTTTACCGAAACTCCAAGTAGCTCAAATCACAGACGAGATGTGGGAGGCCTGTATTGAGAATATCCGTGGTAATTCGATCAATGCAAGATATTATTTGATACAATTCGAGGGTCATACACAGAGTTCACTTTCATTCTTCCAGACTACACAAAATCTTCACCTTTATTATGAAATGTTTCAAGTATAAGGAACCATTGCCTAATCCATCTTGCTATATGATAAATTATGATCAGTGGCGGTTCTGGTCAAAAGTCAATGACTTTAGTTGAGTTACCCTTTTTTTGTTACTTTTGCCCAAGATACAGAACATTAAAAGGTGTTTGGGGTAATACATTCCTTATTTATATAGCCAAAATGTGTTTTTATTGTATTTCTTAATGTTTGTTGGTATTGTATTAGTCACAAACTTGTTTCAGTAACTTAGTTTAAAGTTATTAAATTACATTACTGAAAGAAACCCCATCCCGGTTAACTTTGGCCCAGGTAACAGCCCAGTTTTTGCTGCAACACTTACATAAAATAAATACATTGCATTATCATAGATGTATCTTTTTGGAGGGAAGCCACAGAGAAGTCCAAGCTGGGTGTTACAGGGGCACTGGCCCCTGTTGGCCCCCCCTTAGAACCGCCCATGACTATGATTATTCAGGGTTTTCTTTCTTTTTCACTGGCTTTCAAAAAGGAATTCAATCCAGTTTAATTTACAGTTTGTGACAGTGGAACCAGGAAGTGTGAAGACTTCTTCCATTCAACATTGTTAGCTAGAAAGCTTCTGAGGTCCCGACTTTAGTAATGTTGTTAAGGGAACAAGGGAACATTTAAAAATTGGAAAGATTTTGTCAAATAGATAAGGAGATATTTCATTAATTTAATTTATCAACTTTAATTAAGTAACTTCTTTATGTTTTGTTCTGTAGGCTGTCACAAACCTGTCTGGGTATCGGTATCAACATGAAAACCATAAAAAGAGAATCCCCTAATATAAATAAACTCCCCAAAACCTTAAAAGATTTCTCAAAGACAGACAATTTGTATTTTGTTTAAAGCTTAATTATGTTACACAAGGTGATGGTAGGCTACAC